CCCCATTTGCCCTCGAAAAGGCTCCCCCATTTGCCCTCGAAAAGGCTGTTTTTACTCCTTTTATAGGTCAAAATTTCCGAAAATTCGTCATTTTTCACGAAGGTAGGGGGGCGGCCGCCCCGCCCCCGCCCCACCGAGATTTCCGCCACTGAATGGGCTTTAGTAAGTTAACCCAAACAGAACTTGGGTGGAGTTTTATCCAATTTTAAGTCCTGATTAAACGACGAAGATGAGAGTTGACAAGCGAAAGTTTGCATGAGAGTTTTCTCAACTCTCATGTTGGCCAGGTCAAACGAGAACAAAAGTTGATGAGAGTTCACTGAATATATTACTTTGTATTGAAAAACAAATCAAAATTTGAATCAGCTCAAAGTTGACGAGAGTTCACTGAATATATTACTTTGCATTGAAAAAACAAATCAAAATTTGAACCAGCTCAAAGTTGATGAGAGTTCACTGAATATATTACTTTGTATTGAAAAAACAAATCAAAATTTGAACCAGCTCAAAGTTGATGATCTCGAGTTCACTGAATATATTACTTTGCATTGAAAAAACAAATCAAAATTTGAACCAGCTCAAAATTGATGAGAGTTCACTGAATATATTACTTTGCATTGAAAAAAAACAAATCAAAATTTGAACCAGCTCAAAGTTGATGAGAGTTCACTGAATATATTACTTTGTATTGAAAAAACAAATCAAAATTTGAACCAGCTCAAAGTTGATGATCTCGAGTTCACTGAATATATTACTTTGCATTGAAAAAACAAATCAAAATTTGAACCAGCTCAAAATTGATGAGAGTTCACTGAATATATTACTTTGCATTGAAAAAAAACAAATCAAAATTTGAACCAGCTCAAAGTTGATGAGAGTTCACTGAATATATTACTTTGTATTGAAAAAACAAATCAAAATTTGAACCAGCTCAAAGTTGATGATCTCGAGTTCACTGAATATATTACTTTGCATTGAAAAAACAAATCAAAATTTGAACCAGCTCAAAATTGATGAGAGTTCACTGAATATATTACTTTGCATTGAAAAAAAACAAATCAAAATTTGAACCAGCTCAAAGTTGATGAGAGTTCACTGAATATATTACTTTGTATTGAAAAAACAAATCAAAATTTGAACCAGCTCAAAGTTGATGATCTCGAGTTCACTGAATATATTACTTTGCATTGAAAAAACAAATCAAAATTTGAACCAGCTCAAAATTGATGAGAGTTCACTGAATATATTACTTTGCATTGAAAAAAAACAAATCAAAATTTGAACCAGCTCAAAGTTGATGAGAGTTCACTGAATATATTACTTTGTATTGAAAAAACAAATCAAAATTTGAACCAGCTCAAAGTTGACGAGAGTTCACTGAATATATTACTTTGTACTGAAAAAACAAATCAAAATTTGAACCAGCTCAAAGTTGATGAGAGTTCACTGAATATATTACTTTGTACTGAAAAAACAAATCAAAATTTGAACCAGCTCAAAGTTGATGAGAGTTCACTGAATATATTACTTTGTATTGAAAAAAACAAATCAAAATTTGAACCAGCTCAAAGTTGATGAGAGTTCACTGAATATATTACTTTATATTGAAAAAACAAATCAAAATTTGAATGAACCAGCTCAAAGTTGACGAGAGTCAATAAGAGTTGGCGGTCAAACGCGAGCGAGAGTATTATAAAATAACATGTATATAACGCGTGCTCTGATTGGTCGAAACCCGTGTTTGGATCAGGCCATCCAAACACGGAAGACTATCGTGTTGTTATTTTATAAAACAATTACTTTATGGTTTCCATGTTTGGATGGCCTGATCCAAACACTTGGGAATGTTGCTTGAGTTAAGAAAAGCGGGCAAAATCACTCGCCTTCGGCTCGTGATTTCGCTCGCTTTTCTTAATTCTCGCAACATTCCCGCGTGTTTGGATCAGGCCATCCAAACACGGAAACCATAAAGTAATTGTATATTGAAACTCGTTTGACCAGGCCTAAAAGTGCACAAATATTTTCGTAACGATTTAACGCTTGTCTTGGAAGACAACCTAGCGCGATTTTCTCTTAAGCGCCTGGGTACGACGCTGCTTGGAGGTTGACGTCATAAGGCGTCACCTGTAGACTGACTTCAGCTAACTGCAAACTTGAATCAGAAGATCTCGCAATTTTTTCCACGTATTTTTTAACCTGCGATGTTCAGATTGGCGTGATTTCGGTGAACAGACTGCATACTGCTGATCTGAGGGCCGGAGCCGGAGTTTGTTCAACTCTGGCAAAACTCCGACAGCACTTATTTGTGCTGCAAACTACTGTCATCAATGAAAAAGTAAATACTCCCATTGATACTGCGTAGGCTTGCCACAAACATAGTACGAAATGTTCATGCGAAGTGTTAAAATCAAGATAGTGCTTCCATTTTGAAATGTAAAATTTCCATTAAATTTTGAATTTTCACGAATTTTCCGGAGCTGGAAATTTTCTGCCGGAGCCGGAGGTGAAAAACCTGGAGTTTGCACAGCACTAAAATTTCATATCTCCAATCTTACACCGTGTAGATATTATTACTAAAATTGACTAAAATAATCCTTAGACCTTGCCATTGCTCACTTGCCCCGCTCTCATTTCTACAGGTGATGGTCCGCAGTTACGTGATTTTGTAATTCAACATGGTGTTGTTGCACCTCTTTTACAATTTGTTAATCCGTCAGTCCCAGTAAGTATTCAGCAACTCTAGCCATTTATTTGCTGACCTTTCTTTTAAAACGGTTGTAGTAATTAATATTCATTGTTTTTACCCCCTTTTAGCTGACATTTTTAAGAAACGTAACGTGGGTTATTGTTAATCTTTGTCGAAATAAAAATCCCGCTCCGCCAATGAAAACAATTCAAGAGGTATGTCACATTGAGTAAATATAAATTATAAATTGAGCTTTGCCCATTTAATTCATTGTAGTTCTCTTTATATTTTGTCTTTACTACTATGGTTGGCTTTGAATTAGGCGGTACATGCTGCAATTTGAGCATTCTGTGGCACGCATCGATAAACTGACAGGCTCAGTGTGACCAGATTTGATAAAATATTCCACTTGTGATTAGATTTCGTCAAGTCTGGAAATATTTTTGTAATGAATATCATTTTAGTTAGACATGGTAATTTCTTCGAAATTTTAATGATTCAGTGACTTTTTTGGTGTTCGTCGAATGAAATTCTCTAGCTGGCAAAACCCGCTAATTTCAAACATGGAATAAATCATTAGTACTGCATCGTAGTGACCTCGTGCCAGCCATGACGTCACTACTCTGATTCTTTACACTATTTTCACAAATACAAAGAACTTGTTATTAATACTGATTTAGATAAAAAATCTTTAAAATTACCGTTCTTTTCTATTTTATTTTTAGGTGTTACCGGCTTTAGCCTTACTAATCAGACACACAGATTTAGATGTAAGTATATATTTGTACTGAATTACACATTTTGGAATGTGAATTAAACACTAATATTTTCTTTCCTGGTGTGTCTTTTCCTGTTTAGATTTTAGTAGATACTGTATGGGCGTTGTCGTACTTAACTGATGGTGGAAATGAACAAATTCAAGTATGTTTTTCGATTTGAAACTGTATACTAGTTTCATAAATGATTATACTATTTAATAATAAGCCAACTGATAAGTACACTTTATGTATACTTTACCCATAGATATCTTATATAGACTAGATAGCGCATCTCTTTTAGTAAAATTGAAGCCAAGAATATTCCAGCGGTTACCCCCATTTGAATAGATGGCGGCCATGTTGGCGTTCCCACTCGCTAATAAACGCTTAAAAAACAACAATAACTTTCATCATTTGAATAGTTTGAAAATGTATTTGGAATAGGTTTAACTTAATGTTTAAGTTTCCTGTTTAAGAAATAGAAACATACGAATCTTCTCATTTCATGGGAATGTCCTGAGTCTGCAATCACGGCTTCAATTTTGAATTGTAGAATAATTAGATGCACTATCTAGTGTATATAAGATATCTAT